CATGTAAAGGAGCACGATTAATCTTGTTGGAAACCAACTCAACAATCTGCCCAACAAACTCGTATTCATAACCATCTCTGTTTCAAACAAGATTTTGAGTGAAGTTAAACTAAATGCCACACATCAAGTCTTGATATGTATGTTGTCAAGGTAAACAAGCAATTCTTTCAATTTTATCATGAAGTATGTGTTTGATTTAACTTATTTTGAAGAAATAATTGTTTGTTTTCTTGTTAGATTCTTTAGAGAGCCTGTAAAAAATGTACAATTGTTACTCTATATAGAAATATCATATTTCTCTGTTTTCATCATGGAACTCTAAACTGACAAGGGGACAAGCTGGCAAGGACTTGCTGGTTTTTTCTTCCTCCTCTGTTTTTTTTTTTCATCTTGTCTGAGAGTGGCAGCAAACATGGCTAGTGGTCAAACATCAGGTGGTGGCGTTTCTGGGTCACTCCCAACTGCAACCGATAGCTCCACTGCTATGGGCTCTTCAAGCGTGCCTCAAAGGTTGGTTCCCCAAAATGCCTATGGAAACAAGGGTGATGTGGGACGGAAGTATGGATTTTTAGTTCAAGGAACTGCGAAGGTTCAATGCAAATTTTGCCAAAAGGTATTCAATGGAGAGATTTATCGCCTAAAACACCACTTTGCTAAAACAAATCAAAATGTTGAAGCTTGCAAATCTATTTCTGATGATGTGAATAAAGAGATGATGGATATTATTACTTCGTTGATGAAAAAAGCAGCTAACAGAAATGGCTCTTTGGAAATTGGTGAAAAGAGAAAAGCTATCGAAAGTACTGAAATTGAAATTGAGAGTGCTGGGATTGGACAATTTTGCAAGAAAAGGGGTGTAGGTTCACAGGCCACAATAAATAACATATTTAAGAAGGGTATAAGAGAGAATGCATGTCAAGCAATTACAAGATTTTTCTACAACAATGGCATAGCTTTTAACGTGGCAAGAAGTGAAGAATTTCTTGCCATGTATGGGTTAATTGCACAACACGGTCCAGGATTTAAGCCACCTTCTTATCATGAGATTAGAGTGAAGTATTTGAAGCAAGAAGTGAAGATGACAATGGAACTTATTGAAGAACATAAGGCTGTTTGGAAGAGTGTTGGCTGCACAATAATGACAGATGGGTGGACTGACAAAAGGAGAATAACCATTCTGAATTTCTTAGTGAACAACCCAAAAGGTACGGTGTTTTTAAAGTCAATTGATGCTTCCCACATCACCAAAATAACTGATAAAATATTTAAGATGCTTGGTGAAGTTGTGGAAGAAGTTGATGAGGAAAATGTAGTGCAAATTGTAACTGATAATGCAACAAATTATAAAGCTGCTGGAGAGATGTTGATGGAGAAAAGGAAGAATTTATACTGGACTCCTTGTGTTGCACACTGTATTGATTTAATGCTTGAAGATTTTGAGAAAAAAATACCCCTCCATGAGGAAACAATTTCAAAGGGCAGAAAAATCACAATTTATATTTATTTAAGGACTTCTCTCATTTCATTATTACAACGCTTCACAAAAGGAAAAGATTTGGTGAGACTAGGTATCACTCGATTTGCCACTTCATATTTAACTTTGAGATGCCTTCATGAGAACAAAGGAGCTCTTTTAAGAATGTTCTCGTGTGACGATTGGAAGTCCAATAAGTTTTCTAGGACAAGAGAGGGAAATTTGGTGGAGGAAGTTGTTTTGGACAATGGGTTTTGGAAGAATGTTCTAATTTGTTTAAAGGATGCATATCCTTTAATTAAAGTCCTTCGTTTGGTTGTTTCAGATGAGAAGGCAGCCACGGGCTTTGTTTATGAGGCAATGGACCAAGTTAAAGAGGCTATCAATATAGTTTTCAATGGTGTCAAGAAGAGGTAATTGATTATCTATCAAATTTAGTTAAAATTAAAATATAGTAATCTTTTATTCATTTTTAGAAAATTAGCCTATTTTATTTATTTTTTAGTTACATGCCTCTATGAAATATCATTGATAATAAATGAGACAAACAACTTCATAGGCCTTTACATGCTGCTGACTATTTTCTCAACCCTCAATTACATTATAATCCTGGATTTAAAGTTGATCTTGAAGTTAAACGAGGACTGTATGATTGTATGGCAATGATGGTGCTCGATATTGAGGAAGAGGCCAAAATCGATGTTCAAATTGATGATTTCAAGAAACAACAAATGTTTTTCGGTAGTCCCTTAGCTAGAGCAACACTTCAGAAAAAGACCCCAACTGATTGGTGGGAGTCGTATGGAGATGAACATCCAGAGCTTCAAAAGTTTGTCATTCGTGTATTAAGTTTAACATGTAGTTCCTTAGGATGTGAACGTAATTGAAGTGCATTTGAGATGATAAGATTTTTAGTAAAGTTATTTTCAATTATCTACATTCTACAAGCCTACATATTGCTTATACACATTTTAATGTGTTTGGGTCCATACCAAGAGGAGAAATTGTTTGAAGCAAAAGACAATGAACAATGTTGTCTTTGTTATGGCTAATTCAAAATTAGTAAAAAAGAAGCAACTTAGAAGAGCTTGTGAGTTAGACCTTAATGATGTTTCATATGATGATGAGTGGATTGTAGAAAATGATGTTGGAGATATTGAAGGGTTAGATATTAAAGGGTTGGATTTAGGTGCACACAATTTGGACTTGGATGGAGATAAGAACTTAGCCCAAAACCCAGATGGAAACAATGTTATTGAGAATGATGTTGATATGTTAAATTTGGATAATGAAGTTGATGGAGATGAAGATGAATACCATATAGTGGATCTTTATGATTTTAATGTGGCACAATTGTTAAATTAGACATCTTAGAATATTATTAGTTAGTAGTTCTTATGCTATTTTGGTGTTTGTGCTTTGTAATTTACCAAAAACACGGTGATTTGGATATTTTGGGTTGTTAATTTGTTACATTATGGATTATGCTTGATAATTTTTTTATGGAATATGGATTATTTGATTACTTTTAGTGATTTAATATATATTTTTTAATTTCAGCTATTTTATATGCAGAATATAAACTTATATTCATGTATATATAATTTTTGTAAAATCTTACGATTCGATTTATGATTTTATGATTTACAATTTTTACTTCCCTTAATGATTTGAAGTAAAATCCCGATTTTAATTACCTTGGTTTTCAAGTATAATCACTTAAAGCTCTAAGTTCCGCCAACAACATGTCAAAGATCCCATGCAAGAGAGACGAGTTTAAAGGTGTATCAAAGCCAGAAACATGATGTAAAATTGGATCCCGAGGTCTCTCTTTAATAGGGTTTGAAAACCCTAAAAGCTCTTTATAAGTGGGTTTTCTGCAGATAAGCATGGCTGTGCAAGGCCATAAGCATAACTGTGCATGAGCTTGAAGCACCATGTTTGTTGAAAGGTTTGGGCTTGCTAACTGTTGCACAACTCTTATTTTCCATCAATTTGGCCTAAAACACATCCAAAATTCACTTGTGTACTCTTAATACTAAACTGCACAATTAGCATATAAATTTGTGTAAAATTCAAATAAAATAATGGTCATACATAAATATGAGGTATAAAAGAGGGGCTAAATATAGACTTATCACATGCATATTTTCATTGTCTTCCTTATTGGTCTAACCCTTGTTTTGGGTTGAAGCTATGATGTGTGAGAGAGAATTTTCAAAGAAGTTATTGGTTGAACCGATAAGTATAGTAGTATTTCTATTAAATAGACTTCCTACAAAAGTAGTACAAAAAAAACTCCTTATGAATCATGATATGACTATAAACTTTTTTTTTTTAATTCAAATAGACTACAAAATCACTTTTTTTGTGCATTTGCCTTGAGCAAATCTAAATTTGCTTAAACAAAAACACATTGCAAGTTGTAGTTATTGCCAAAACTGCAGGGAGATAGAACCTAAGGATAAGTCCAAAGAATAAGAAAGGCAAAGATACTTTAAGTCCAAAAAAAAAGAGATAGACCCCAAAGAAGGTATATAATATAGTGGCTTATGATCATGTATGCACATAAATGAAGAATTAGTAAGTGATTCATTAAAATTTCATCCCTTTTCCCCTTCCACCCATCTCCTTCTTCTAGCTCTCCCCCCTTTCCCATCTTCTCTCCTAACCCAATCCCCTTCCTGCTCTCCCCCTCCCCTTATGCTCTTCCCCAGCCCTATCCCTTCTTTCTCACTCTCCCCTCTTCCTTTTCATGCTCTTCCTTACTTAAGTGAAATTTTTTATTTTTGTTTAAATAATTTTTTTATTTAAGTGAAAATCACTTTTACGTATATTTAGCTTAAATGAATTTAAATTTGTTTAAGTAAAAATGTACTACATGTTGTAGATTTCGCTAAAATTGTAAAGAATCTAGATCTTTTCTCCTCTTCATTTTATTCATAGAATGTGTGACCTACTGGATTTTGGCTTTCTTTATTGTTTAGGCTTCTTCATACCCTTGATGAATGTGTATTTCTTACCCCTAATAACTTGAGAATAAGTCCATATCACCACAGAATTACCCTTGAAGTTATCCACAACGTAGGCATAGATAAATGACTCAATATTCATTATCACCATCACTAGTGTACATCAAAACCCGAGCTTGTCATTGGTGAATCCTGAATCATGTAACACTTTAGAATGTGTTTGACAACAAACAAATCACTATCTTCGTTATCCAACATTACTATTACCTATTATCATTTTTCTTCAAACAATTTCACAGCTTTTTAGAACTATTATTAAACTGAATATGCTATTTCAAATTATGAAGTCACGATAACTTACTTGCAGCTAAAAAAAAAATTTACAATGGCATTTTTTTACTACTAATTCACAATAAAAAAGCATTCAGTTTCTCTAAAATCAAATAAATTTATTTTTTTTCACAACTGAAACAATAAATTGAATTCCTGTATACTTCCTTTGAGAAAGAAAAAAAAAAGAATTCATTTTCCTTGTTGACTTGGCTCATTCTAGTAACTAGTATTTTTCTTTTGTTCCATTTATGTAAAACAACATAATGGTAAGGGAATAATTAGTTACTGTGATCACACCACAAAAGAATTTACCTTATGACACTAATAAAGGTGCCTCTTATCTGCTTTGACATGATTCAACTTGAATCCTAGTTGAGGTTATCATACAATGCCTGCATTGCTTGAATAGGAAGAAATGAAAATTGCTACATGCTTAGTTCTGAATGCATGACTATAAACACATACATTGTTGCTGTTGCACAAATTGTACCTAAGAATTTACATGTCCACGAATCTATGCTTTTTTAGCAACTGGTAGGTTTGTGATTCTGAACTGTTGAGAGCATCATCCAATTTTCTCTTGCTATAAGGATCAGCGAATTGAATATCTTCTATGCTACCTTCTTGTTTGAAGACATGGATTCCAATTTCTTTAAGGCTTGAGATCTCTTCCAAACCCTCATATGTGACCTCCACATGGTTCCATTCATTTTCTAAACGCACTTCATATAGACTATCTTTGAATTCTATCTTTTGCAGATCAAAAAGATATGTGTGATCCATTCCCATCATGAAATAGCCACTATCAAGGAAACGTTTACTGTTATTTATGATAACAACAGGTCTAAACATGCCAGACTCATTATCCATTGGTCCAATAACAAGACAAAAAACTTTTACAGGGAACTTATTATGAAACCAGAAAGAAATTGAGGGTCCCTTGCTATGGTGACCAAACCACACTGGAATCCTAGCTCCTGGCAAATAAAATTGAGTGTTTCCAGCTTCATGCAGTTCCTGTTAGTCATAAATAGTTCATAAATTTATCAACATTCAGGTACAGTATATATTAGTAAATAAAATTAATTGAAAACAAGACAAAACCTGATTCAGTAGCATGCTTATACTCGAGGAAGTCAAGGATTTACAGTTAGTTGCTAAGAAATGTTTTAAGTTTGGTGGAATCCCTCTAATTTCGCGAAGGTTCTTGCAATCATTCACGTTAAGCTTCCTTAAAAATCGACATTCTTTGATGCATTCAGGAAGAACTGTGAGATTATTCTTCGATAGGTCTAAATCTTTCACAAGAGCAAACCATGTGAGACCTGTTGAAAAAAATTCATCATTGAGGTTGCATTGTGAGACCCAAAGACATTCTACCTTTGAAGATGCTGTTGAGCACACTTTTTCTTCACCCTCTTCATGTTTTAGCCATTGCCACCCTTTCCATCTCCACGCAATAAATTCAGTTAATTCTGGCATCATGACAATGCTACTTGGTAATTGAACAATTCCACAGTCAGCCAGTTGTAATTCTCGAAGCCGAGTAAGATTTTGAAATGAAAATGGCAATTCTTTTATAGGTGTGAACTCCAATTGAAGTTCTGTTATTTTTTCCATTGTTCCTAATATTTCTGGAAAACTCTCAAGGCTATAACAACGAGAAAGATTGAGTTGTTCAAGAGAGGTCAACTTGATGGGTGGAAAACTCCTTAGCTTAGTGCAACCTAAAGCACTCAAGATTTTAAGTTTCTCTAGAAATCCAATTGAATTGTGAATTGTAGTTAAATCCTGACAATGTTGAAATGAGAGTTTTTCTAAATTTGGGAGACCAGATACATCGGGTATTTGCATTAAATACTTACACTTGTCCAAATTCAAAACTCTCATATTCACAAACTTCTGCAAAAATAGAAGGGGAAAAAAAAGGAAATAAGAACCAAATGAATAACCGTAAGTGAATTTATTAACTTCCAAGGCGGGGAAAGTGAAATTTTTACACTTGCCTTCAATAAGCCAGCCAACTCAAGTGATGTAAAGCAACTTTGGGGTAACTTGCATATGGCAAGTTTCCTTGAATGAAAATCAGAGGGTAAATCATGTGAAGGATATCTCCACCATTCCAGTACTCTTAAACTATTTGGAAGATATTTGGGGCTTTTGGAAAAATGACCATTTTTAATAATTAGCGTTTTGAGATTTTTCATCTTCTTAAAGGCCTTTCGATTCCATTCTACTATTTCCTCTTTGTCAAATAAGGGGAAATCCAGACATATGATTTCAATTTCACTAGTTCCCTGTTAAAAAAAGGCACCAATCAACAACCATACATATATATTATATAAGATTTCAATATATGTATTATAAAGGAAATACAGACAACTCTGCCATGATCAAATAATGGTCAAAAGAGATAAATCAAGAGTTACATGCCAATCATGAGTCATACCGAGTTGTCTTCCAAAACTTGAATTATATCTTCCGGTAACCATAATCTACTGCGCTTCCCAGGATCTTTCGGTGATTTCTGTCGGACAATTTCTTTACCCATGTCCTCTATCAAGTCATGCAATGTCACCCCACCAGCCCAAGTCAGCTTTATGAGAGATTTTTCAACCAGCAACCCAATATGATATTTCATGGAGTCACCGTAATGAGCATGAAGTATATCTTCAACCTCTTCTAAGTTATATCCTTTAAAGCAACAGGCAATGTCAAGAAAAACACTCTTCTCTTCTTCCTCTAAAGCATCAAAGCTTACTTTAAGTATCTTTAGGATTTGACAATTTGGAATTCTTTTATATTGATTGATAGCAGATTTCCATTGCTCTATACTTTTACCGAACAGGTTGGAACCGATTACTTCCAAAGCCAACGGATGACCAGAAGCATAAGCTACTGCACAATTCAAGACATCCACATAACTTGGATCAACTTTTTCAGATTTAAATGCTTTCCAACTAAGTAATTGAAGAGCATCGTTCTTATTCAATTTCTTCACCTCATGTGTACCTTTAACTTCATGACACGCTAGTAGCTGTTTGTCCCGGGTCGTGATGATGACTCTACTGCCAGGACCAAACCAATCAGGTTTTCCAACAATGGCATTTAATTGCTCGTGCTTGTCGACATCATCTAGAATCAAGAGAACCTTCTTTCGCTGGAGCCTGTGTTGTAGTATTGAAATTCCTTGTTTGACACTTGATAACTTAATTTTCTTCTCTCCAAGTACTTCTGAAAGTAGGATGCTTTGGAGATGCTGTAACCCATGTTTGTCTGAATTTTCTCTCACATTTTCTAGAAAACACAAACCATCAAAATGGTCAGCAATCAAATTATAAACTGCCAGAGCAAGTGTTGTTTTTCCTATACCACCAATTCCATGAATCCCTATCATTAGAACACCATCATCAGATCCAACATCCAAAAGCTTCCTTACTTTTAGCACCTGTGACTCTAGTCCAACAGGGTAATCCGCAACATGTAAAGGAGCACGATTAATCTTGTTGGAAACCAACTCAACAATCTGCCCAACAAACTCGTATTCATAACCATCTCTGTTTCAAACAAGATTTTGAGTGAAGTTAAACTAAATGCCCCACATCAAGTCTTGATATGTATGTTGTCAAGGTAAACAAGCAATTCTTTCCTCCTTAAATTTTACCATAAAGTATGTGTTTGATTGAACTTATTTTGAAGAAATAATTGTTTGTTTTCTTGTTAGATTACTTAGAGAGCCTTTAAAAAGTGTACAATTTTTTCTCCAAATTGAAGTTTTCAAACATGTATTAAATCATGAAACTAGTGAAAATCCATAAAACGAAGTTTGTCTAACCTATGTCATCAGGCACATAATAATAACAACTCAATAAATAGGAAGTTTCATTGAAAATTATAGCATTTAATGTTATAATGCATTGTATTTTGTAGCATCTTTTGAATTCCAATAAGAAGTTACTCTATATAGAGGTTCTTATTATGTGCCCTTGGGTACATATCAGAAATATCGAACAAAAAATAGTAAGGTGAAAGAATGGTAAGGTGAGGTACCCATGTTTGAAATGGTAGCCAGAGAAGTTAGCTACATGATGCAAAGCCATCTTCCATTTCTGCAATTTCTCCATGTTATGTTTGAACCTTTCTTCATGACTTGCCAATGCTTGTCCATAACTACCTCTTTGGTGTCTCACATGAGAAGGATCAACGTCATAAAAAACGGGCAAAACAAATGTACCTTTTCTCTTAACACACTCAAGGATGTGGGCAAGTTCATCTAAGCAAAATGAAGAATATGCATAGTTATTAGAGAGCACAGTGATGGCAATTCTTGACTCTTCAATTGCCTTAACAAGTGCTGGTGTTATTTCCTCTCCTCTTTGAAGCCCCTCATCATCAATGAAGGTGTGAATTCCCTTGTCTTGAAGAGCTTTAAATAGATTGCCAACAAAACCATGACGTGTATCTGAGCCTCTAAAGCTAAGGAAAACATCATAGGTGAATGCATAGGTGAAGGAAGAAGAACATGATCTAACAGCCATGAGAAGAAAGCTTAGTATAATTATTGATGCAGTGTTGGTTCTCCAAAATCAAATTGATCGAATAACTATGAAATTGATAGACTAGAGTGTTACGCGGACATGTCGTACTGAACATTAATTATTACGCGTATGAACCTTTTCGAAAATATCTCTCTTTTTTCTCTGGCTCCTAATGTTTCACTGTGCTTAACTCGTGGTCTACATTTGACTATTATTCTTTTAGAATGTTGATACTACTTCATTCATAGTTTTAAAATTATTTTCTTTTCTTACATATTACAATTGATATTACAATTTATTAAAATGTTGCATATGTAAAAAAATATTTTTTAAAAATATTTATATTTATAATGCTCTTACATTTAATATAAATATTTTATTTAATTTAAATTTAAATAATAAATTATAATTTATTATATTTAAGTTAAATAAAACGTATTAGATATAAGAGTTTTTAGATTTACACAATTACAAGAAGATATTATTTTTTTTAATATATATTTCTTAAATATTACAAAAAATATATAATAAATGAATTAATAAAATAACATATAATCTGATAGTATTTTAACTGTGATGGGTACCTTACAAGTTTTTTTATTTTGTAATATCTTTAATTAGTTCTTAGAGATTAATTTGGAAAATAGACACATTATTAAAATAAATATTTTTTAAAGTTAATATACTTTAAAAACTTAATTATTTGTTAATTAGGTTTAAATAAATTTTTAATTCTTATAAAAGTTATTATATTTAGAATTGGTATTTTTAAAAATATTTGTTAAGATTTAGATTCTAATAAATTCAGTGAGTGAAAAATGAGCTGACTAAGATGAACGTATATCATGTGATAGCACTGGGATAAAATTTTGCTAGTCGATTTAACACTTAACTAACACAAATTAATGATATAAATTGATTTTTCACTTGCTTAATTTATTAAAAACTTAATTATAACAATGGTTTTAGAGAAAAATATTCAAGTATAGCAACTTTAAAAGGACAATAAATTTATTTAACTATATATATTTATATTAAAATCTATACATATATAATTTTTAAAATATTTTTAGGGGAGGGGGGTGTCTAGGGTACGTACTATAGATCTGAATAACATTATTTATGCGTAATTTTTTTTTAAATTGATTTTTATCATCGATCGATGTAATAATGGTATGTTGTATATATAATGGGAATAATTTTCATTTTGTGTATACAGAAACTATAAATTTATACTTTAAAAACAATGTGGATGCTTGAGATTAAATATTATATGCATTTTTCTTTTATTTTGTATTCATTATTTTGATTTCTCATAACAACTAAATACTCTCAGTTGAGTGATTTCAAACTCAAAAGTTCACAAGATTGTTGGAACAAAATTATTGTAAAAGGGAACCTGGAATTCTTGACTTGTAGTAAAAGGATTGAAACTTTGCTAAGAAAAGTAAAAAGAATTTAAGATGGGGAAGGAAATTATATCACAGGTTTCCTTCATTGTAAGTTTACACACCTGATTCTCACCATGCAACACTAGGATAGAAGCAAGCAACCTCCTAGAAGACCTACTTATAGCAACAAAGAATTATTCTCAACCAAAAGGGAAATGATACTGAGGAACCCCTCATAACAAATTCTTACCTTTGTATAAAAAGAGATTGAATCACAATTCTTTTATTCATTCAATTCATTTCCATAACTTCTGGCAACACAAAAATCCCAAGTTAAAGGGACAAAGGAAGCCACTACTCTCCTGCAATGGAAACCAATGCTGCTGAACCAACTAGCAATCGCTTGTACGAGGATTTTGAACCTTACTGCAAATGGCTTACAAAGGAAGAAGGACAAGTGACTCTTGAGATTTATTTGAAGGGTATTCATATTTCTTCTTTATATCTTCTTGTTTGGATTACATTTTAATATGCAAATTATATTTTGAATGAATTTATGCAAACTAGTACTTTTTGTTGTGCACTACAGGAATATCATTAAACTATTTTAAAATACATTACATGACTAATATTATAATTGACCCAACATGATGAGTAAGCAGAGAAAAATTTGCAAACGGGTCAATAAACAATAGAAAGAAAAGCATAATAACAAATAAGGCTTAATTAGATTATAGTTATTCTAATGGCATGGTCTCTTAAAATTTGGCAGGTTTCAAAAAAGAGCAACTTAAGGTTCAAACAGACAACGTGGGGGTCCTAACAATTTATGGAGAAAGGCTTGTGGATGCAGCTAGCAATAAATGGAGCCGTTTTCACAAAGAAATTAAGATTTCAAAAGGCTGTGATGTTAATGCAATTCGTGCAAAGTTTTCTCATGGGGTTCTTTCTATTGCAATGCCTAAAGAAGCAGTTGTGGAGAAGCATTTCATTTATGGGGTAGGATCAAGAAAGAGAACAGCTATTAAGGTTGCATTTGGGGTGGTGGTGGTGGTGGCTCTTGGGACTTGTATAGCTCGATTAGTAAAGTTGATGTTGTGAAAATGAGGAGTGGTTAAAATCAAGATCTATGCTAATGCATAGGATTGCTTGCTTTCACAATGTTTTCTGTGGTGATGAGAAAGTGAGTAAGGTGTTCATATTTTATATCTTCTTGTAACATACCTTCCAAGAATAAGGAGTGATTAGGATTACCTAAATCAACTCATGCTTTGATGGTAATTAGTGTTTTTTTTTTTTTCCCTTTTTTAAAGTTTTTTACTTTCATGTGAGTGTGCATTCTAAGGACATTTTCAGGTAAACATGTGGATATTAATCTTTGAGTTAATTCAAAGTGATATGTATTTAATGAGTGTGCATACTAAGAAAATTTATACTTTCTTTATTAATATTTTAAAAAGTTTAACAAGTTCAATATATTTTCCATGGAACAGTTAGAACTTGTTATTGTTGTAAGAGTTTTAAAGACCCGTTTCAGATACAAAATAATGAAATTAAAATAAAATAAATTTTCTTTAATAAAAACGTGCAAAATATAAATGATGTATAACTGTAACACATTCAATAAATTAAAAAGGTAGAGCATGAAAATATTTAAAAACTTAAGACATACATATTAAAATTAGATGATAAATAAAAAATAAATTTAATAAAAATTAGATTATAATTTATTAAATTGTGACTTAGATATAAAATCACATGTTAAATTAAAATAACTTTTATAAGTTTATCTACGTAATTAATAAATAATACATATATATATATATATTTAAAAAAAGAAGAATATAATTTACTCTTTTAAATAATATAATAATTAAAATGAATATATTTTTTCACATTTTTTTCATAATATTTTTCATAGACATCTGAGAGTTAAATTTTTACTTATATGTTTTTAAGTTACTCTAATGTAAAAAGAGATAAATATTATCACAAATTATGCATTCCTTTTCTTTTCTGTGTAAATATAAATAAAACTACTAAAATTCAAGAATAAATACATTTGCACTTTTTTTTAAAAAAATAAACTCACTTTAAAATAAATTTATTTCTTATAAATTCATACAATATAATGTAATTGCTTTCATCTATATTATTAAAATGTTTTTATTTTTGCTTTTACTTAAGTAAAGACTGTTTGCTCTCTTAAAAGAAAAAAAGTACATCAACTTAATATTTAAAATTATAAAAATATTATTTAATTTCTAAAGTATCAAATAAAAAAACAGGTTAAAGTTTAAAATAATTTATTTATTAAATTTTAAGTAAAAATTAAAATTTTAAATATTTTTAGTAAAAAAATAAATTGTATAATTTTAAAAATAAAGCTATTGAATTAACTAAAAGAAATTACCTAAAAAAAAAAATCAAAATTGCACATACGTCGATTACCAAATTGAAAAGACAAAAATACGATTAAGCCTAACATTTTTACCATATTTAATTAATTAACACTCAGGTCTCTGGTAAACACACGACATTGAAGAGCTTTCCACCATTTCAATTGCAAAATTTTCCCTTTTCTGAAAACCCTAAATTGATAATATCATTCCTTCCGTCGATTCGATGAGTCTGAGAGGAGCGAACGCAGTGCTATCTCGGGCCAATAGGATAAAGTCGAAGTTGCAAACGGCACTGGAAGCCACCGTTTTGGAGGTGGACGACGTGTCGTATCAGCACGCGGGTCACGCCGCCATGAAGGGAAGTACCGACAAGGAGACCCATTTCAACGTGAAGATCGTTTCGACAAAGTTCGAGGGTCAGAGCCTGGTGAAACGACACCGTATCGTCTACGACCTCCTCACCGACGAACTTCAATCTGGCTTACACGCCCTCTCCATCGTTGCCAAGACGCCCCACGAAACAACCCCTTCTAAATGATTCATTTCGGTGCCAAAGTTTGAAGCTTTTTCGCTGTGAGTGGCCAAATTTTTAGTCTTCACTTTGTGTTCAATGTCTTCGACAAATTCGGTGTTTCTGTGTTGGGTTTTTGAATATTGGGAAGTAAATAAATAAATAAATAAAAGCAGAACGAATTAAGCTTCTGGTATAAATTAAAATAAATTCGTTTAACGTATTAAAACATCAGGTGTAGTAAATTAATTTAATGAATTAAGCTTTTGATGGATGGGTTTCTTAATCTCTTGAACTTCGACAGTTAATTAAGATTCTCACGTTTAGATGCACTATATATCAATGATAATAAATAACGATAGAAGAGTACTTTTCCCTTTAAAAACTTATTAGTGATTGTTTAATATATTTTTTTTTAATGATAAATTTATTGAAATAATGTTTTCATATTCTGTTCATAAGATTTTTCAAATAGGCCTTAATTGTTAAAGGCGACATATGGCAAATGTAAAATGCTTCTCATATTGAATTGCCTTCGGGATTTTTCAGTGTGAAGATGTCTTCAATCTAACAGGATTGCTTGATTGGCTAGGGATAGTGTAACATTTAATTTGTTTTTGACTTCTTCGTTTTAGATGCTTTAGATGAGTTTCCATTCCGCAATGAATACCTTGTGCTTTTTGTTTGTATTGAGTTTGGACTAAAGCTCCAATGATGAATTAACCTGATGACATAAAACTGTTAATTGAATCGTTCCAATTTCTGAAGATTAGTAAGTTTTTCTTATAGTGTGTTGAAGAAGGTAATTCTGAGGAGCTTCTGTCAAACCTCTTCATATCTTGTCGCCATTTTCCCAAATGAATCAATTTCTGGGTTTTGAAGTGTGTTTGGTTTTCTTCCCACAATTCCATGGTTAAAAATTCGTGCATGTCATCGCCAATATGTTGCTTTAAATACTGTACTGATTAGACTCACTGATTTATTGTGGACTGATATTGTATATTGACTTTTATTTTACTTGCTCTTTCAGTTACTACAACGATGATTGCAAACCCTCACATAAATGGTGGAGTAAAGAGAAACCGCTGTTCGTTGTTTGGAATTTTAGTTTAAGTGAGTGAATGATGTGAAAGACAGCGATTATAAAAATAATTTCTGCCTTTATTTTTCATTTTACCTCACATAAAAATACTTGCAACTTTGAGAAATAGGAAATGTCAAGAGGTTCCGTCCCAATCTTCAATGAAGCATTGAAACCTGACGGGGATGTCTAGATTCAAGATCAATGATAAAGTTGAGATTGCCATCTAAAAGTAGAAGACAGTAAAATACATAAAATGAATGTATTCAGCATCAAATGCTCAATCTATCTTCTTTGAAACCAAGTCAAAGATAAATTTCTAAAACCAAACTTGGCCCGAAAAACATATATCAATAAGCAAGTAATAGGATGACTAAATTTTATTTTGATGGCACATCACAAGAGAAGTTATATTTGGGAGTCTTAGTGTTGCCCCTGCATTGATGCCAAAAACCTTGAATCCTCATTCACGTTATCATTCAATGTCTCATTGCTGGAGAAGGAAGAAATGAGAAAAATAAAAAAACTGTGTCCAGTTCTTCACATGTGACAAAATTCATATGCCGTTGCACAATTTGTGTATCAAACTCGCAAGTCCATAAATCTGTGCTTTTTTACCAACTGATGGTTTTGTGATTCTGAGCTATCAAGATCATCTTATTTTCTTTCTCTATGAGGATCAATGAATTGTATATCCTCCATGACACATTCCTGTTTGCATACATGAATTCCGCATTTTATTATTACCTGAAATTCCGCTTTGGTCCAGAAGACTTATCTCTGCATGGTTACATTCGTTGTTTAGAACATATTCGGATTTTAAACCATTTTTATATATGGTAAAAATATATTATAAATAGTTCTTATATTATTATTAAATTATTATATTAAAAAATATTTAAATTTTATAATAAATAATATAACATTATATATATATATATATATATATATATTTTTGTTAAACATCAACATTTATTAAAGATAAAATATGAATATAAAAGATATTTTAACCTATTATATATCTAAAAAAATTAAAAATATATATCAAGAAAATATTTGAGTATATTTTAATTTATTAATAATATTTTTATATTTTTATATTTTTATATTTTTATATTTTATTAAAGTAATAAATATTTAGATATATTTTACCTTTTTATCATCTATCTACATACAAATTAAAATAATATGAATTAAATTTTAAACTATTTTATTTTATTTTTTTAATCAGTTTAAAAATAGTTTTAAAATTGGTTTTAAATTTAATTTTTGTTAAAACTAGTTTTAAATTTAGTTTTATGTTGAATTAGTTTTAAATTTAATTTTTAACATAAAATTAAATTTTAGTATATTTGTAAATTTTATTTTTAAGGTAAAACTAATTTATTGTACAAAATTTTGCATTAAATTAGTGCGTTTTAAAATTTTTTTAACAATATTTATTAATATATTATATTTTATAGAAGTATATAAAATATTTATTATTAATTTTAACTTATTTTTAATAAACAGAATTTATAATGAAAGTTTAAATTAAAACCTATAAAAATAAAAGTTAACAATATAAATAATAATAAAATTATTATATTATAATTTTAAAAATTAAAAAATAAACATAAATATTAAAAAATAGTAGTAATTAATTTAAAAATATTTGTTATATTTTAATATCTTTAATTATTTTAAATATTTATTTTTAATTATAAGAATTAAGATTATTAAAAAAATATTAATAGTAAAATGTAATTACAATAAAATTTTGTAAACTAATATAACACAAAGATTTAATAAGTAAAGATATAAAGTAGTAACTTTATATATATAAATTTGGATAAATAAATAAAAAATTCAGTTTTAAAAAATGAATTTAGACAGTAAACTAGTTATACAAATATAATTAATAAAAAAATCAGTTTAATATGAATCTAATTTTTAAAACTAATTTAATATTAGTTATTCATTGAACTTATAAAATTGGATTATTTTTTATTAGAGTTGATGAAAATTGACCTTGATTCTTTAAATTTCAAACCTTAGTCATTCATAAAAGAAAAAATTTATAAAGAAATTTGAGTTTAAAAGTTCTGAAAGTGAAAAGTGTAGGAAA